TGATAATAGACTATCATATGCAAATGATTATTTTGAGCACAAGTAGTCATATATTATTGGGCATTGACCATATTCCCTTAAAATTATCATAATGGCATAATTTAGAAGATGGTTTGCCTATATCTTTGCATCCATTCGATTATTATGTTGAGAGCATTTGAAACGTGAAATATATATATTGTGACAAGCATTTTGGAAATCATGCTTTTATATTTTATATGGTGAGTGCTTTGAATATTATAGAGAAAATTAACAACGGTGTACACAAGGATAAGTTAATTGTTATTTTTCACGTGGATGAGCTTTATTATTTTGTTGTGTCAGAAGTGTTGAATTAACACTACTGGAAAGTGATTAAATCATCAATCTGACTAAAAGCTTATAAATTGTGTACTTATGCACATATTGAATTTATAACATTATGTGTTATATTGTGGATATGTTACAAACTTTGCTCTATTTGATGAGATACATATATGCTTTACAGTCACTTAATCTTAAATATCTAAATTGTGTATTGAGACTAAATTCCAAGGCTTTACTCAAATTGTGGTGGTAGCATAGAAAAGTCATCCATCTTGAATACTCTGTCTAGGAAGATGGTTTTTAAGTAAACTTCGGTTTCACCACTCGACCTGGGAGTTTTTAAGAAGTAGGGTGTTGATCATGCAGGCTAGTTAGAGCGTCACTTGATCTTTACCTGAAATGAGGTTGACTTTCATATGTTGCTGAACAATCAAAGCCTTGCAATAGAAATTGTTGAAGTACTGCAATAGTAATATTGATCTGCATCATGTGAATGCTTTATATGAGTCTCAATCTCCTCAAGTGAAGGAAGAGTTGTGCAGGTGGCAACTTTGAGTGTTAAAATTATACTTGTTGAATTCACCTTGTTGAGAGATATTTCCTAATAAATGTTAGTTTGAACATATCATTTGCGTATGAGATTAATTTCTTGTAAAAATATGATGTGAAATTTGTGATTATGTTGTCCAACTTGAAGTAGCATACAGACAACATTATCTCTATGGCTTACTAACAATGAGCATTTGTATATATATTATTTAAATTCTTGGTTGAGTCATCTTGAAAGACCTCTAATACCTGTTTAAAAGGGTAATTATGATGGATTGAGATAACCAATTTTGTTGAAATATATTCAACTATTGAGTATGTATCAGGCAAAGTGCGAAGCTACTATAATGCTCCACAAAGAAAATCGACAAAACTCAGTCTACAAAGGAGCTAATGTTGGGCACCAAAGAGCAGTCTGGGTAAGAGATCAAACACATTTGATAAAGATATTTGTAAGTGTTGCATTGTGGGGGTGATTAACTCCTTATATTTTCACCAAAAGTTTCTCTGTGGTATTGAGAATAATGATGAAAGAGGATGTTTCATGTTAAGCATGAAAATCTCAAGGGATTATTTACGAGTAAACAAAGTACTTGTCAAAGTGCATGTAAGTTTGATCAAGTGAATAAACTTACTTGAGGGCTAATTATGAGGATTAGTCGCTGACTCATTGGAAGGACTTAAAGTCCAAGTGGTAATGAATTCGTGGTGGATCCCACTTCTGTGGTCAAACGAAGCCATGAAAAGAGTTACAAAATAGTACACTAGTTGGTCATTCCGACAGTGTGTGTACTTGTGAGGTTGAGCTACAGCTCTTAATGAATTCATAACTCTTTGAGAAAGGGTGGTTTTGTTGAGACAAACCTAATGAATTCACCGCATAATGACTTGAGTACAAAAGTGCTCTTAGTGACTTATACTCAATTGGGGTGGTCTATTTTGAGGTAGACCTAACAAGATCCCTGACTTGAGTGAAAAGGGGTTAACTGCCTCTTATGAAAGATATTGGGGGTATCCCAATAAGCTGAGTGGCTAAGAAATATGTTGATAAACGTGGAGTTGTGGGGGTGTCTAGCTAACACCTTCACTACATATACATTGTGATTCACGAATTGTCGTTTGTATTGCCAAAGACAGTGTCGTCTATGATAGAAAGAAAAAACTTACAACTGATTTATGTCTTTAACTATTCTATAAGCCTTAATGGTGGTCTATACTGAGATAGACCTGATAGAGTTAAAAGTCTGTATTGAGATGGACTTCACAAGACGTAAAAATCTATAATGTTGTAAGACTTGTCAGAGTTAAAAGTCTATGTTGTGATAGACTTTGACAGGGTATAGTAGAAGTCTATATTTGAGACAGACGTAACATTCCTTAATACTAAGGGTGTTCATAAGAAGTCAAAGAGTTTGACTTTTGTAGGACCTGCCTTTTGAGTTGGTGTGTGCATTCGAGTTCAAAATTTATCTAACCGGTGAGTTCAAGATTCACATCACTCCCGGGAAGAAAATTACTCAGTGTCACTACGTGTCAGTTCAAGTTCTCAAACACTGACATTAAGATCAACTCATTTGTATTGCTAAGACATTGTTTCCTTCTAGCCTTCAACTTGGAACGTGTGGGAGATTGTTGGGAAAAGACATTCAAATTAGAAGTCAACATTCTTGTCCTAACTTCTAGGCTCCACATACTCCTTGTCCACAAAAGTGGTGTGAACGTGGGTATGACAAAGTAGAGTAATGGTCTAAGGATTCCATTATTTGCGTGAGTGTATGTGGTCATGGTTAGAGCTCCTTGACTATAAATATAGTATCCTTCACGATTCATCAATACACTCAAAAAGGAAGTTTCCTTTTTTGGCTTTTCTTCACTTCGTGCATACCCTCTAGTCTGAGCATATATATAGTCAGGTTCGCCTAAGTGGTTGCTAGTGCAAGCAATCCGTAGTAGGTCTGTGTAGCCTGTCGAAAGCGTGCCAGGGTTCTAACTGCACCGTTACCGGGCAAATAACGCTTTTAAGGTAGTGTTATTATAACACGGCACATATTTCCTTCTACCATACACCCGTTGTGTCCGTGCTTCTTAAAAGGTTTCCCGCTCGCGCGTTGACGTTGCGAATATTCTCCAACACCTATAACTTTATTCATAATCAACACATAAACATATGATCCATGTACATATTAGATTGTGTAGTATTGGATTTTATACACTGCTCTGAAATCTTCAAGGATCCAGAGTTCAAGACCATTATTATAATAATAGTAACAGATTGTCACTTTTATCTCGTCATCTCTATTATTTGTAACAGCTCAAGTATTTGAAAGTGCAGAAGTTTTAAAGTAAGCATAGTGTATATAATATAAAGTTATAAAGTAATGTAATTCTTTTTCCTCTTTGATTTTTGTTGATCAAAACACAAGTAATTCAAACTTTTGTTCTTTACTTGCCATGTCTAAGAGTAAATGAATATTTAATTTATTTCGTTTCTCGTCTCAACTCTATGATTTTTTTTTATTTTTTTTTGTGTGTTTTAAATATTTTCAGAAACACCAATACTTTATTGTCTTAAATCTAATTTTGTTCTATTAGTACAATGAGTAATGGTATAGGCACATCGTCGATCATCTACAAAAAATTTTCCCATGTTTTGGTTAACTGCTTTGTACATACTGTGTTTTTTCCTCCTGTTTCTACTTCTTCAAAGAGTATTACTATAGGAATATTCTTATAATAAATATTTGATTGGATATGATACATGAAAATAACTAACCAATCGAACAAATAGCCTATAATTTGTTCAATATACGAAGTAATAAAGTAATAGTGTATATATAATAAAGTAATATTGATGGAGAAAATAGAATTCTCCATAAAGAAGAAGAATGATAATAAGGTGATTGCAGTGAACCAATAAACAATAACACAACAATTTAACATGGAAACTAAAACGGTAAAAATCACGGGTCATGACCACAGGCCGGAGCTGTCCCCCTCCCCCCATATATTATAAAAATAGATAAATATTGACAAGAAATAAGGTAGATTAGATGGTAAAACACTTGTGCAAATTTTAAGTAAAGTTAAGGGTTCGAATCCTGACTTCTATTTAGTATTGTGGACAAGGTTTAAATTTTTTGATTTCCACGTTAAATATCTTTGTATACTTATTTTTTCTTCTTCCTCTAACACTTTATTTTATTTGGAGAATTCTATTTTCTCCATCAAATATAATTCAAATTTCTGTTCTTTACTTGTCATGTCTAAGAGTAAATGAATCTTTATTTTGTTCTTTCTTACATCTCAATTATAGAAAATGCCAATATTTTATTTGTTTTTTACTTAATTCCATCATATTAGTACAATGAGTAATGCTATAGGTATGCCACCCATCATCTAAAAAATTGCTTTCCAAACTTTACTCTTGTGAGTAATACTATGTACATTCTTATAATAAATATTTGATTGGATATGCAACTTGAAATTGCCTAGCTAATTATTTGATCAAAGAGCTCTATAATTCAACCGTTAATTAGTTATAACGCATTACAAGAAGTATGTTTTTATGATCAAGAATTATTTCACCATTTTCTTTTGGCAAATTCAAGACTACAAAAATAAACGTGGAGAAAGTTGGGTTTAATCCATAGTAATAACATTTTTTCACACATATTTTGATATTATAGCTCAGTCAGTCTAAATCCACCTAAATCTTAAAGCATCTACAATAGGAATGGTTTTTTTGTGATTTTTGAGGTATCAACTCGGAGAGAGATGAAGTAAAGAAAAAAAGGAAAAAAAAAAAAAAACATGATCTTGTCAGGCAAAAAATAAAAATAAAAAAGGGGCATTAACGCGCCCAGAGGGGTGCGCAGAGTGTTTTTCACGCAAAAACAGAGAAAGATTTAACCAACAAAAAAAAAAAAAAATACCCACAAAAAACTTTAAATACTACAAATATATTTAAGGATATTTTCATCTCTCTCCTCCACATCATGCCCTTTTTCCTCCATGTCACCAAAAAAACCATTAAAATTCACTAATAGTGTTGCGGTGTTGCTGTTGCCTTTAGTTAACTCTATAAATTCACTAGTACCATAATGAATATCAATAGTTGTAAAAACACTTCCCTTCAAAAAAAATAGTTGTAAAAACACTTGTGTATAAACTTTAGTGTGCAAATAAAAATATTTCCTTGCAATAATATCATCAGCAAACAAAGAGGATATCATACTCTCCAGTCGCATACAAAAGGATATTCCATCACCAATTAGACTTCAAAATTCAAATCTCGGTGCATACAATGCATGTCGGATCCGGTGGCTTCCTCGGAATGTAGCCCTCAAACTAGAAGTCCATTCATTCTTTCCTTTTTCCCCAAAAGGTTGAATCCCCAACCCAAGAGCCCGGCAGCTGCTTGTCATTACATCTTCAAAAGATGAAGTCACTCAAGGCACAGTTGTCATTTGGGGAGTGTTTCTTAATGATGTATGCACTATCTTCGACGCCAGCATTTAAGCAATTTATCCTGTGCCTGGAGCATTGGGAGTCATCGATTAGGTCATTGGTGTCCAATATTTTAACTCTAAGTAACAACGATTAGGTCATTGGTGTCCAATATTTTAACTCTAAGTAACTGATGCATACGTACCATTCAAAATGGTCTTCACAGCAAATAGAACCCCATATAATTGAAAATCCTGCACCCTTCCTGCAATTGTGAATCCATTTTACACATAGCAACAATGATGGGCAACCTTTTGCGAATAGGACCAAACTTGGTAATACTTTCAACTTTGCAAATGGGAAAAAAAAGGGGGAAATTTACATACCAGGTCGCAGTGTACATATCATAGTACTTGTCAAATGCTTTATTCAAACAATGGTGGCAAGCCAAAAGATCCTGGATATCAGTCACTTTGCATGTTGACTTACAGCATTTCACCTGTCTCCAGTGTAAAATGGTACTATTAACACAAAAGGACACATTTCCATAAGACAATATATGAAGCTACATTTAATCAAATTACAATATATTATATTTAACCACAGAGAATGATCTCATTAGAGCTATATTAAATTAATTTGTGATGTGGAGTTTATTTAGCTCTTGTCAAGCTTGTACAGTTGAGTATGATATATTTCACTATTTACTCTCTCAACCACCTCTATATTATAGATTTATAATGGATCACAGCAGGTACCCTGCCTCCCGATAATATAATCCTGGGAGAGGGGTTCTGACTGAGCTGCTATTTAAACAAAGTTTTCTCAAACGAACACCAAATAGCCAAGTGAAACCTTACCAAACGATTGAGCTTATAGGAATAGTACTGTTGATGAGAGGGGTGCGTGCTGATATGCTTGCTCAAATGACCTGCACTAAAATTACAATAAGTTCAGTTAGGTTAGATCAGATTTACTTTACTACACACACTTTCAACACAACTGTTTTCTGAAATCAGTAAAAAACTACAAGAGATTACAAATCGAGTTTCCTTCACTAAGATCCTTTTTAATGGAAAACTACATTGTCTAAAAGATTTTTGCACCTAATGACCTACATTGCATAGCATTGAGCTACAACATTTGTTGTACAGGAAAATGGAGGATGGGGGGAGTATGTAGAAGCAGTGTACTAGCAACCCAAGTTTCCCTTAACAAGCCTCATCCATCTTCAGTACAGTATAGTAGTATACAGAAACTGATTTGAAATAATCAATACTAGCAGACATACACAAAACATGATTATTCATCAATGATAACTACATCGCTGAATTGGTGAAAAGCACCAAATATACCTGTCACAAAAGGTATTACTACATCTAAGACATGTGGCCAAAGATGTAGACCTACGGCAAGAATCGCATTGTGCTGAAAGTGATTTTTTTCTAATTTCACGGCATCTGCAAATAGAAAAAAGAAAGGGTAGTTTTAAATGAATAACTTCAATTTTTATATTTAAACACAATATCAATGGATTAATTGTAGCATCTAAAACTAAAATTGCCAGTGTACCACATTGTATAAAAGAGTTGAAATTCAATGAAGAATAACTAACTGCTAATAATGGGTCAGTTAATTGTTCTTACAGTATGGAAAAAAAATTATAGATTAGAGTTACATCAGTGTTCTTGTTTAATAGTGTCAATGATCAGGATATACATACTGAAGAAAATTGATAGGTTATCTGGAAGGTCCAAGTACAAGAATAACTTTGGAAGAAAAAAAGTACCAAAAAAATTAAGAAGAAAAAAAAAAAAAAAAAAAGAGAACCCAAAAAAAAAAAAAAACAAAACAAAACAAAACAAAAGGGCATAAACATGAACCCACTGCCACACAAATGATACCATAACACTTTGAAGCTACAATAAAATTCATCAGAACTGTTCAAATTGGTGAAAATAAAAAATGGAGTAAAACCACCTTGCATCAAATGCTACTGTGTTGTTCCACATTACTCTCTTTAACTTATACCATATTTAGTTATTTACATGTTGCCAGCTCTTTCATTGATTGTTAGGTAATTGATAGGGGCCCTAAAAATTGAAAATTTCTCTTAAGAAGAAAATTAATGTTGGGTACATCTTTGATCTTCCTTCTATATAGACTTGCATGATGCAGAAGCCTTGTACAGAGGATCATGCCTTCATTTAACTTTTGTGGGAAGAGAGGAAAGAAGATGAGGGTGATCATCCACTTACAGAGAATATACACTTGAAATAAAGTATGCATTTATGCAATGAAAAAAAAAAAAAAAAAAAAAAAAAGTGAAGTAAACAATGCACACTACACCTTTTATATAATTCGAGAAGATCTCTGGATATAGAACAGGATTTACTTGGAAACACTGCAACCTGTACGAAAGGGATGGGTATAATAAGCTTCATTTTGCCACTGGCATATCTTAAGTTTCACTGCACACAAAGAAACTAATACCTGGTTTCTCGTTTCACCTGATTGACCAGATGGATGAGATTGATTTGCAGATGCCATAACCAAACAATCATCAGGAAGATGCCCAGGCCTTTGACATTTCCAACTACAGAAGTAAAAGCATAATTATGTAAAAAAACAAACACATAACAAAAAAGTTTTGCATTAACTTTTCTCTCCTAAAACATGGTTCTCAAGCACCAAGCAACAATTGGTCTAACTGGAGTTTAGTAGCATAAACTTGCATTGACTGCTCCACTCATTTCTCATTTTCTTTTTGACATGCATAGGGTTAGGCCACTGTGCTAAAGACCTTGGGGTTGAGGAGACATGTCATCAGTCATTACCAAATAGATTATGATGAATACCTACCATTCATAAGCACAAAGACCAGATCTCTTCTTGGACCACCGATGATTCTCATAATCCCAGATGTCCCCTCCAGATTCAGGAACTTCTGAGTAGCATTTATTGCCAAAGGGCTCTACTGGGGATTGAGCATTTAAGGGCCCCTGAAGCATCCTCGAAAAATTGTTGAGTTAAAGAAACAGAAAGGAGCTGAAGAGCTTAGGAAATGACCGGATGGAAGTGCAAAAATACCTGTTGCGGCTTAAGGTTTTCAAGAAGCTCAGATTTGCAATCAATGCTGCATATGTCATCTTCAGTCTGCAAGCAAAAGATATATGGTTGTTAGGTTACACAGAGACTATAATGGAAAAATTGTTACATGTCCCAGATAACCCACCTCATTGCAAATGTACTCCCCATACTTCCCACACACCACACAAACAGGCTCTCCAGGAAGAGGGGACCGCTGCTCACTCCAGGTCTTAACTCTATCATCTTCATTTGTACTACCTGAAGTACCAATGAAATAAATTGCAAAACAAAGAAACAGTCAGTGATAAGCTTGAGAAAATCAAAGAATATAATCTGTAAACTTTATAGTGAATAACAGATATTCACATGTTAGGTGACAATGTGACATTTGGATTAACCAGAACATAACCCAAGTCTAGGCATCAAGCTACATTGTTTATAATAGTTATTACTTTGCCATGTGGAAAACAAACGAAATTAAAGAAAATTTACAGCTCCATTAATTTCCCAAATGGCATAACATGCAGTTAGGTAAAGCATGATTTCTAATCCAGAATATATGTAGAGCGTAGAATGTTTAACGGGCTTTACTCTCTGTTGTTTTTCCTTGTTTGTGCAGAGCAGGGTATTGATTCTTGCTAGAAGAGTCAGGTTTGGTTGAGAGATAACATAAATACATACTTTACACACTTTACATTACAATTCTTAAAAAATGGCCTAACAAAATTCATCTAGTGGAATTAATTCATCGAAGCAGTTGGTTTATAATGTCCAGATCCTGGCTTTCAATTTGTTTGATGAGTCAAGGATAAAGGTTGGTGGACTTATGTATATCCTTAATCTGTTCACAAATTAAATGCCAACAAGTATCACAGAAAAGTAGTTCATTCATGGTTAATCATCTGTAAGTTTGGATAGGCAAGATGTAAAGGATTAAATGCAACTATCTAACAATTGAGTAAATAAACAAGACAAGAATACAAGAATTAAGAAAGAAACCAAGTGGCTGGGAACTCTGATTTTCAGCTAGCATGCTAGAGTTGGTACGACAGTGCTTGTTTTCACATTCTGATGAACTACTTGAAGTTGAACCTGAAATTTTAAGAATTGCGTTTCAGGTGAGCCAAAAAATAAAAATATAAAAAACTATCGTAGTCTTTCCTCACTCAAGGGAAGTTGATAATATAAGAAGAAAAGAAAAACAGAGAATGTGCAGCTACAGAACCAGGTTTATAAGATAGACCAGATAACACAAGTGAAACATACACGTTCATACATTATAGGAGTTCACCAATTTCATATAAGTATCTTACCCTATACAATATTTTCACATTAGCTACCAAAACTCGCATAAAATGCATTGGAATCATGAAAATGATTATAATTAGACTAAACCTGAATTAGCAACCCCCTTTTTTCACTCTACCAATTTGCACAACTGAATCTTCTCATATGCAACCTTCTTTACACAAAATGCCAAAACTTGCATCAAACACATTGCAATTGTTTTGTTTTTTGGGGCTTACATTTGAGGTGAGTGGGGATTGAACAAATGACCTCCTACAAATTATCACTGGCTGCTAAACTACAAGGCCTTTGACAAACACATTGCATTTTTTACAATAATTATAATTACACTAAAATAACAAACTCACTTTCATACTCTACCAACTGCATAACTGAAGTCGATGTTTCCTGCAGCAAAACTCACCCCCATAAGCTTATTCAAGAAGTGCGGAATCAAATAAAAAGTTTAAAACTTGTTACAGGTTTACAGCACACAGTTAAGCAATTACTCCATACCAATACATCCGCACTCAATTCTTCATAAGGACGACTTGAAGCAACTTCCTTCCTGTTTCAATCACTCACCGATTAACATTACTATTCCAAACTTTAAAAAAAAAAAAAAAAAAAAAAGAGAGAGAGAGACCAAAATCTTCCCCAAAAAGCGTGGTAGTAATTCAAATTCACCTTCTTTCTTCAATGTAGTCCTGGTGAGACATAGGCTTATCATTCACTTTCACCTCAATTTCATTGTTCCGTAGAGGTTGTCGTCTCTCCATCCTTCGGCGTTTATGGTGTCCGATATCATTATTGTCGGAATCCGGCTTGACGGTGGAAGGAGCCGTGGAAACATTGCCGGTGACGACATTGTAAGCTGAAAGTTTAAGAAATTGAGCTTTAAAAATTGGCGGAAAAAAATTAAATTGAGAAATAAATTGTGCAGATCACCATTGAGATTCTGAAGAACGGAGTTAAGATTGAAGGATTTGTTGTAGACAAAGGAAGGATTCTTGTACAAGTTGCTCCTTGTTCCCATCTTTCCCCAACTTTTTTGATCGATGAACGAATTGGTTGTGCTCTGTTTTAAGAAAAGTGGCCCTCAACAATTATTTTGGAAAAATACTACTCCGTATTTGTAAAACCATATGCACCATTTACTACTTGAATTTGGTTAATTTCAAACTTAGATTTTTATTTGGTGTGCATCGGCCACTAGGTGCTCAATATCTACACGAATTTAGCTATTTAAGAGAAGAGACCAAGATTTAACTTCAATGATTTCAACTTTAAGCATAGCAGGTTATTATTATTATTATTATTAAAAAGAAGAGATTAGATGATGATGGTTATGGTGATGGTAATTATTATTATTATTATTATTATTATTATTATTATTATTATTATTATTATTTGCACCCGTACGATACACGGTCATAAATATAATTAGTATAATATATAGTATTATATTAAAAAAATCCAAAAAAGTGAATTTTATTAGACATTATTAAAGACTTCTTTATATACGACATTTGTAGTCGTATTTTTAGATTGTTTTCAGGCTGACGGTGTGCGTTTACTAAAATAAAAATAATTAATAATCTATCATCTATTATTAAACACTAAGTAGCTAAGTGACTAAAAAAACAGAAATGAAAATATTTTACCATTTGATATATCTTGTAGAGGTTCTCTTGTGATTTTTGTCAGTTGTACGTTACTTTTTACATAGAATTTTATGAAAATTCAAAAATATTCTTTGAATAGGTTATTAGAAATGCCAAAATCATGGTATTAAATATTAAGTACGATGTAAACTAATTAATTGAACTAACCAGTAGATATTGCGCTTGTTCCCGTAGGTAAAAAAGGGCTTCTTGTTCCTAATACAAACTTGTTACATTTGTTTTTGCTTGTTGAATATTCCATGTTAGGGGTACTTAGATAAGTTAGATGTATACTAAAAGAGTCGTGTTTGACTACAAATAACAAAAATAAATATTAGAAAAGTTTTTAAATAATTAAATGAAAATAAATATTAACATATATCAAACTAATTAAAATGTATCCATTTACCGTTAATAACGACACTCTTTGGTGTATCATTTGTATTAGAATCTAACATTGGTGTACATCTCGTGTATGAATTAGTTTGATTTTCTTTCCCAATACCATTGCAATTTTTTTCAACCGTTGAATTTTCAACATTTTCTGCAACTCAAAAAAAAAATCATATACAATAAAAAAAAAAAAGTTTAGTAAGTAATTACATAATTAGATATTTCTTTCGTAAAAAAAGAATCATAAAAACTAAAACCAATCTATTATTATGACCTTTGATGATAGATATGTTAAACAAAAATGTCTTACAATATAACAAATGAAAAAATTACATTACATATAATTTTAATATATGAATTTGTTTGATTTTAGGCCCAAACCAGCCAAGTACTAAAACTACCCAAACCCGGCCCAATTGTTATGCATGGAACCGTGTTCACCATGGATGGTGAACACGGTTCCATACGACACCGTTTTACATGAGTGGTAGTAACGGTGCCCGTAAGTGGCACCGTTAACTCCCACCACTCACATTTTTTTTTTTAAAATTAAACGCGCCATATAGCGTTTCACTTTCCCACTACACCGGTTTCACTTCCTCTCCACGCAACCTCCATCCCTCTGCTCTCTACTCTCGAACTCTCTGCTCTCACTTCGTCTTCCCAAGCGCCATTTCCTGCGATCATTCTCGAACTCTCTGTTCCACAGCCATTCCCTCTACTCTCGTGTTCCATTTCCCCGTTCTCGCATTTCTCGAACAAAACTTCGCGTCCTCCCGTAGTTATCAAAGGAGACAGCCTCTCCATCGCTCATTCTCAACGTTGCTTCACTTGTCTTACAGGTATTTTGTACCTGATGTGTTTATATTTTAGGGTTTTTGTATTCTGTGTACAGATTTTGAAATTTTAAAATGGGGTTTTGAATGTAATGTTATGAACTTATGAATGTATATCTGTAACATTATGTATGTGTAGATTAACCATTATGAATTGATTCGTAGATTGTTTTTACTGCTGTTTATTTACTATCTATGCAAGCTTTGAATGTCCATAATGTCACAACTGTTATTGATACTCTATTCTCTTATGAATTTTCTGTTAAACACTTATGTATTTTATGTCATGCAAATATGTATTCTCTGTGTGAGATTATGAATTTTCTCATATGAGATTATGAATTTTCTATTGTGACTATATGAAATTACGGTTTTGATGTTATGAACTTTGTGATATGAGATTATGTATTTTCTGTGTGAGATTATGAATTTTCTCATATGAGATTATGAATTTTCTATTGTGAGTTATGAATTTTTTGTTCTGCAGTTATGAATTTTCTTTGTGATATTATGAATTTTATGTTATGATATTATGAATTATGTGTGACTGTTATTGATGGACAATATATTCTTTTCGGCAGAGCATGGCTGCATTTATTCGGCACTCCCTTCCCCCCTCTACTAAAATAAAGAATATATTTCCATCAAACTCATGTCAGTTTTGTGCTATATTATATGTTGTATATGAATTACTTGCTTTCTAACATTTTTAATAAAAGCAATGGACACTGCTCAACGCAAGAGAACACGCTCTCAAACAAAGGCAATCTTAAGCTCTCAAGCTGCACAGCCATCACAACCCTCTCAAGCTGCAGATGAACAAAACAAGGTAGTCAAAACTAAGACAAAAACCAAAAGACAACGAACAACAAGGGCCGTACTTGACTCGCAAGCTGCTGAACCATCCCAGCAGCAGCTTGAGGACCTGCTCCAATATGAAGTAATTAGAGAAAAAAGATCAAAACAAATAAATGATAGACAGAGGGGCAAAACAGCCATTGTCCCAAATACTGAAGCAGATGAAGGTGAACATGTAGAAGGGAGTTCTACTCCCTACTTCAGCACACGGATGGGGCCGAAGACCATGTTCAGGCGTGTACAACAACTAACGCCAGAACAAAAACAATCTGTCCGTGATATCGGTTTTGGAGCCCTGTTGGACCTTCAACTGTGTGCAAATGAGTCACAATTAGTACAGTATTTGCTGAACAACTTTGAGCTTTACCAAATACATTTCAAACTGGAGAATGACAAGCTCACTGTTGAAGAAGAGGACATTGAGTACACTCTTGGCATTCCAAGAGGAGAAAGCGTTGTTGTTGAGGCCCCAAAATATGATGAACAGGGAACACCAGAGTACAGGGCTTTCTTGCAAAGCTGGAGGCAAAGGTGGAATATTAAACTTGGTTCCCCAATCACAACCAAGATGGGGGATGTGATAGTTAATAGGGGAGATTATGGTGATGAATTTAAGAGGGACTTCATGGTCTTAACTGTTTCATGCATGATGCGGGGATTTCAGACACGCTACTGCAACAACAGAATCCTCAACTCCTTGATTAATGTTGATGAGATAAAGGAATACAACTGGTGTAGCTACACCTACAACTCTCTGATCAAATCCATTGAGAAGTACAAGAAGAAAAGTAGTAGTTTTTTTACTCGACCAATGACATTCATATTGGTAAATTCTAGTTCCACTTATGAATCTTATGATATTTAGATTGTGAATTATGTGTCAGATTATGAATTTTCCTTTATCAGTTTATGAATTTTCCTTTATGTGATTATGAATTTTCCTCTATGTGATTATGAATTTAAAGTATGTACTTATGAATTTTATGCTATTTAGATTTTAAGAGAATTATATGTGTCAGATTATGAATTTTCCTTTATCAGTTTATGAATTTTCCTTTATGTGATTATGAATTTTCCTCTATGTGATTATGAATTTACAGTATGTACTTACGAATTTTATGCTATTTAGATTTTATGAGAATTATATGTGTCAGATTATGAATTTTCCTTTATTTGATTATGAATGTTCCTTTATGTGATTATGAATTTTCCTTGTTGTCATTATGAATGTTCTTTTAATGTTATGTAATAATGAATTTACATTTATAATTGACAACTATACATTCATAATCTCATAATAGAAAGTTCATAATTGCATAACAGAAAATTCATAATATGGTAGTTGAATATAGTGTTCATATTATGAATATAGTGTTCATATGGATTATGAATTTTCTATTATGGTATTATGAATTTTCTGTAATGTAATTATGAATTTTGTGTTAGGATATTATGAATTTATAGTTATAGAATTATGATTATAACCTTTTTATTTTACCTTTTTCTTGAACATTGTAGCTATTCTACTTTGATCGGGTCCAATTCAAAGGGATGAGGGTTTAGAGAACATATCCAAGCATAACTGCATGGACAAAAAAGCTTGCAAGACAAAGAGTTTCTGCTGAAAAAGGTCGGGTGGATATGGTAAAGGGAAAGTTATCCCGCGTGTTGCAAAGCCTACTGCTGACTGTACCACTCATGCTATTGCTTCTACTTCAAACCAACCTGCTGCTCCTGATGCTCATCATACGGTCCCAACAGTCTCTGTGCCGCCATCCAGTGTTGACAGGGTCACACAAGCGCTACAGTGCCTTGCTGCTGATGTCTTGGAGTTTGGGGAGGCAATGGCTGAAGTTGGCAAACAAAATGCCTCTGTGGATGTTATGAAGGCCGCATTTTCTGGAATTTCTACCATGATTGGCGTGGCAAGTACGATAGACAGACCACCAACCCCAACCTCCTCTCAACTTGATGACATCTTCTTCGCCCAGGAGTCTTTCACAAAGGCCGTTGATGCTTTGGTTGAAGCCTTCCAAAAGACCACCAGGAAAATGGAGTTTCACCCTCCATCGTTTGACTTAGGAATTTCTTATACCCCGGTGCCATTGGTTGAAGAACAACAAGAGCAGGGCGCGTTGGATGAAGATCAATTGGATGCCCTTGTTCAAAACATTGTGAAAGATGCTCCTGGTGCTGCTGATGCTGCTACACTCGCTGCTACTCCTGCTGCTACTCCTGCTGCTACACATGCTGCTACCCTGTTGCTACAACTTCTGAAACCCCTGCTGCTCCAACTTCTGAAACCCAAGAAATAACTCCATTGATTAAGGTGCCATTCCCCAAAGATGTCCCTGGTGCTGCTGATGCTGCTACACCTGCTGCTACACTTGCTGCTAACCTTGATGATATTGATAGGTAAACTAATGAGGTTATGAAATTGTGAATTTTATATTATGTCATTATGAACTTTCTGATATTATATTATGAATTTTTTTCTGAAAGGTTACGAATTTTCACATATGGGATTATGAATTTTCACATATGGGATTATGAATTTTCTATTGTGAGTATGAAATTAAAGTTTTGATATTATGAATTTTCTGATATGCAATTATGTATTTTCAGTTATGCCATTATGAATTTACAGTTATCCAAATATGAATTTTCTGATATGAGATTATGCAATTATGATAATGTTAACTAGCTTCATGTGTTTATAGAGCATTTCTGGACAGCGAATTTGATGTTGAGGATGTCACCGTCTGAAAGAGACCAATCCGAAAATACAAAAACATCCCGCTAAATTTGAGGTCACCTTTCTGGACAAAGAATGCACCGTTTGTCCATAATGCTAGTGTCACAGAGAGGGCCGTATCAAAATATGCCTTCATGGATGCTTCTACAAATCATCCAATAGAGTATGTTTAAATCTGACTATTTAATAAACTTTTTATTTTCATGAATATTTCACATTTATAAACAAGTATTAATTTATTTACTTATTTATCTAACTTTTTTGTTGATGTAGTGAAACTCTATTTAGCTTTGATGATTTCTCTATGACACGGGGAGATTTCCACACCCTAAGCAGCGGTGAAATTTTTAGCACCTTCATTGATGTATGGGCGTTGAGGCTTACACTCTTCAACACAAAACGCGCATTGGGGACGCCAAAATGCATCTATTTTAGCACGTTGGTACATGTAAGTTCAGACCAAAATTTTTTACTCTGTTCTCTTATGAATTTTCTGTTAAACAATTATGTATTTTATGTCATGCAAATATGTATTTTCTGTGTGAGATTATGAATTTTCTCATATGAGATTATGAATTTTCTATTGTGAGTTTATGAAATATGGTTTTGATATTATGAACTTTCTGATGTGAGATTATGTATTTTCTGTGTGAGATTATAAATTTCTCATATGAGATTATGAATTTCTCATATGAGATTATGAATTTTCTATTGTGAGTTATGAAATTACAATTTTGATATTATGAACTTTCTGTTCTGCAGTTATGTATTTTCTTTGTGATATTATGAATTTTATATTATGATATTATGAATTATGTATGACTGTCATTACATATTGCACAACTTATCGTTAATACGTATTTTTTCCCCTTAGCTTCAACTTGACCCGACTGAACAGTGGATGAAGGATCTTCCGCTTCAAAAGTGGAAGGAGAATTTCAATGAGCGGTTACAGTATGAAATTTCCAAATTTGGAAATATTGACATCAATGATGCTGATCTGGTAATTTATAATTACCCACGTTCAACTTTTATTCATTAATGACATATTTCTTCTCTATTCTAACTTCTTCTTCTTTTGACGTTAGATATTTTTCCCCGTGCTTCGACACGGACACTACTTTATTGTCTGCATCAACACCATCACAAAAAGTGTTGAAATCATTGACAACAAGACCCTGCCTACTGGTGTTACCGAAGCTGACAAATATCAAGATTACCCAGTCTACTGGTAACTTAACATTAAACTTGAACTTCCAATCATTTGTTATACATTTTCTATGAATCATTATCACACTAGTTTCATTTTTGTCCAGATGACTGCTTTGAAAGAGTACTTGACTGCAGAAAAATCACCCCTACTACGTAAGATACAAAAGCTTCATGTATCATACTTGGCCCTTCACTGGAAGGAGCTTGACAATGTCATCGACTGTGGCATATATGTCATGCGACACATGGAATCGTACAAGGGGGATATTCAAGATTGGAATAATGGGTTCAAGAGAAACACCCATGTAAATGTAAGAGTATAACATATATTAATTTCAACTTAGATTTACTTTTTTTGTTTTTTAACATCCCATTAAACTGATTGTTTTAATGTTTTTTTTTTTTGAAGGCTGACTTCATTTGGGAACTTAGAGCTAAATATGCGTCAAACATTATCACATGGTGTAGGAACACTGAAAGATCACGGGTTATGAAGGCAGCAAAGGATCTCTCAAAGAATAAATGAAACTATACCGTTTTTGTTGTTTGAAAATGTTGTGAACATGAAGCATTAATTTTGTCAATACTTCATTTTGAAATCTTGACTGTTGGTACCCTAGATTAAGAATCTCTCATTTTGTATTGTGCACAGATATTTTGCACCTGTGAATATACAATCTATTACTCTTAATTCAGATTACATATGGATCATATTGATTTATGAATTTTCAACTACCATATTATGAATTTTCTATTAAGCAATTATGAACTTTCTATTATGAGATTATGAATGTATATTTGTCAATTATAACTGTAAATTCATTATTACAAAACATTAAAGGAACATTCATAATGACAACAAGAAAAATTCATAATCACATAAAGGAATATTCATAATCAAATAAATGAAAATTCATAATATGACACATAATTCTCATAAAATCTAAATAGCATAAAATTCATAAGTACATACTGTAAATTCATAATCACATATAGGAAAATTCATAATCACATAAAGGAAAATTCATAAACTGATAAAGGAAAATTCATAATCTGACACATATAATTCTCAATCTAAATATAATAAGATTCATAAGTACATACTGTAAGTTCATAATGACATAAAGGAAAATTCATAATGACATAAAGGAAAATGCATAATCACATAAATGAAAATTCATAATCTGACACATATAATGCAAAACTGCAGATGTACACATCAAACATATTGCAACTATATAGTTCAAATCTAAATATTTTGCATAGTATTCATCACATCACTGCTAAACATATGAAGTTCTATTAACACAATCTCAATCTATATCTACATTGTGGTCTACATTCTTATTAAAATGAACAAATTGTGAACCCCCAAAGCTTGGATGTACGAGATATCCATCACGAGCAATCTCTGAAATATTTTCCAAGACCAATGATTGGACAGAGCCCTTTGTAATTGAAGCAAGCTTGTTTGCAGCACTCTTTCTCCCCCCTTGCTGCATTGTACTTCTTCTCAATAACACTACTACTCCTTTTATTTCTCACACCTTTACTCCTCCGGCTTGAAGGGTCTTGGACAATACCACTTGACGAAGACACAGCACCCTCCTCAATATTCACATCCCCAATCTCAGCTTCAATGTTTTTCCTTGCATTCTCAACAGCTTCATCACAGAATTGTCTAGCAACACTGTTATCTTGGCTACAAACAATAAGCCTTTGAAATTTCCTACTAATCTCAACAGCCCAAATTGAAGAAGGGACACCACCATTATAAAACACGGATGCAATGTCCACATTTCTACCCTCAACAATCTTTTTAGTCCATCTTTTTAGAATGTATTTATCAGGAATACTAGAAACACAGTGCACATGAAGTATACATAAGCAATGACAGCAAAGTATTCCCAATTCTGAAAACAGCTTGCAACTACAGCATATATCCAAATTGATTGGCTTAAAAGTTACTTCATGCCTTATGATATCTATGTCTGGTCGCCATACGTGATACTTGCACTTACATCCATCATTCAACACCATTTCTTGATAACAAGAACTACCTTTCATAAATTGTTCCTCGAACAAAAAATATATCTCAATCGTATAAACCTCTCTAGCATGTGAAAGGAGTTTCACATGATCCATCATCATGGCAGGTACTCCTTGAGAACACCGGAAATCCTCACCATTTTCCTTACTTCTCCATTCAGAAATAACACTCACAAAGGATGAATAAAAATCACATAAACCAGCAGTCTTGGACAACCTCCTAGAAATTGAATGATTTGTAGTTTCACTCCTTTAAGAAGATAAAATACCCCCGGAGAAATAATCCTTGTTGAACGCAGGACACCACTTCTCCCTACAGTCATAAAGCCTCTCTAGCCATGTATTCTTATGACACTTATATTTTGTAACCATCATGAAAAAGTTAAAACACATGTTTACTAAGCATATTCTGAAAATTCATAATCTCATATTACAAAGTTCATAATCATATAACAAAAAATACATAATGACATAACAGAAAATTCAGAATTGTATAACTGTGAATTCATAATCTCATATTAGAAAGTTCATAATCATATAACAGAAAATACATAATGACATAACAGAAAATTCAGAATTATATAATGTAAATTCATAATTTTTATCCCCTGTTGAATACACAGAATAAATGACTAAACATACCAAAATATGATACTGTACCCAATGAACAAAGTAAATAATAACATACCTTGTCCAATAAACTTCAAACTCAGCTTCAGTCTCGGTGTATTTCAACACACAATTGAACATATCCAGAAAATCCTTATGATTCCTTAATGCCTTGATATGCTTCTTCGAATTCTCACCAATATGCCATATGCAAAGACGGTGGCGTGATGTAGGAAACACCATAGAAATGTCAGCAGCCATAGCTGAACATTGATCCGTCATGATAGTCTGTGGACACTTGCCATCCATGGTTCTTAAAAACGCTCTAAACAACCACGTAAATGACTCTATCCTCTCATTCATCAAAAACCCACATCCAAACATTACATTCATGCAATGATGGTTCATCCCTACAAAAGGACCACAAATCATATCATATTTGTTAGTGCGATATGTTGTATCAGGCACTAACAAATCACCAAACACCTCATAATCCCTTCTCATTTGACCATCCCTCCAAAAAAAACTACACAATCTTCCATCCAAATCAACTTCAAAATCAAAAAAGAAATCAGCCTCATTAGATTGCCTCCTCTTGAATATTTCAATCAAAGAATTGGAATCAGTTCCATCCAAACACTTCAAACTCTCAGAAGCCATCGAATTGTAAGCATCGCGGTTGGTAAAGCCAACCAATGGAGAACCCCCTGACTGATGTTTCAAAAACCTCATACCATCCGCCAATGCAACACCACTATTCTTCATATCTTTTAAATATTCAAGATGATTATTTCCCACTCTTCTATGCGAACGGAGCATATGACTCTTGCCAAATGAACATAACTCATGATTGTGCTCTTTCACATGTTTTGTAACTGTCCACATCCCATCACCCCCCACATCAAACTGAACAAGTGCACCACAACCAGTCCTTATATCAATTTTTGAATAAAGCTTAACACCACTATTTGGTTTCTCCTTATACCCAGCCTTAGCACAGAAGAACCTCTTCATCTGAAATGACTTAGTAGATGCCTTATAACGTTGTTAGCCTTTCCTCACACTAAAACCCACTCTGTGTGCATATCCATTATATAACTCAAAAGCTTCATCACCATTGCTTACTACAACTCCAACCAAGTATTCATCAACTGCAATTGCAACAAAAATATAACCACACATATACCAACTACTAAAATATGAATGTGCAGTTCACCTATAATGAATATAATATGCTACAATAGAAAATTCATAATCTCATGTGAGAAAATTCAAAATCACACAGAATAAAATTCATAATATCATATCAGAAAGTTCATAACAGAGACAGAGTATCAATAACATTTGTGACATTATGGACATTCAAAGCTGCATAGATAGTGAATAATATCATAACAGAAATAAGTTTGATGGAAATATATTCTTCATTTAAGTAGAGGGGAGACGAGGAATGCCGAATAAATCCAGCCATGCTCTACATAAGAAGAACATATTGTCCATCAATAACAGATACACATAATTCATATGCTCATAGCATAAAATTCATAATCTCATAACATAAAATTCATAATCTCATATAGAAAATTCATAATAACATAACAGAAAATTCATAACCTCAAAACTGTAAATTCATAACATGAACAGAGTATTAATACCAATCACAACATTACTGACATTCAAATTGCATATAATCACCATGAATCAGTACCTACAACTACCAGAAACCACATTCATGATACACAAACTAATAAAAAGAACCTGGACTTGAAGACGAGCCAGCAATGTCAATGTTTAACCCTGCTTGATCAGTGCTTATTGAATCACCAACAAAGTCTTCATTCACTGAGTATATGCAAACAGTGTAACATACCAGTTAATATGTCATGAACATAGTACTATTACATTATGAATATTCATACCACATGCATGAATAGAGTATCAAAATTCATAATTGCGTAACAGAAAATACATAATCTCATATTGTAAAATTCATAACAGAAACATGGTACTAATACATAATTACGACATTATGAACATTCAAACTGCATAGATACTGAACAAATACCAATAAAAACAACTAAATCTTCAACATGCTATATCTCATAAATCAAACGAAATCAAACGCATAAAATCGAACGAACCTGGAATCGCAGAAATCAGATCGGTGGAATCTTCTCCTCGAACCGCCGTCTCCTCCATCGCGAATAGGAAAGAATCGCGAATGTCGGATCGAATCAACCGCAAAGAATTGTGAAACTGCCAAATCAGAACTGCCGTCAAACTCGGTGCTAACGCCGTTAATAGAACAATAACGTATTTTTTTTTAATTTTTTTTAAAAAAAATACACCAAAAACGACGTCGTTTGGAAACGTGTTCACCAAGCATGGTGAACACGTTTCCACTTGGTGAACACGTTTCCACGGCATAATTTGCGAACCCGGCCTGGGGAGATGTTTTGTTTGACTAACTCTAACTCTCTCGAACATTG